AAAAAAAAAATGTTATGGAGAAAAATAAACTAAACAACATTTGCCTGGGCGTTACATCCAAACTCTTTACCAAATTTGAATTAAAAATCAAATACAGAAAATAAACACTATGATAAACATAAGAAAAATTAAAAAGAGAATTAAAATGAGCGAGTGTGCCAGCACCTTTTCGACACCGCCATCTTTGCCGATTTTTAATTATTTTTTGGCATTGACAAATGCCCTGAAAATTTACAGATATGTAGTTTACATAATCAATAACTCGTTAAAAAATTTTCAAAAAATAATAAATTTGTTTAGGCGGAAATTAGGCCCCGAAATAAAGTGAAAACAAAAAGTTAAAAGTGAAAAAAAACAAAATAGTGAGTGGAGCATGTTTTGACACCCCCAGCCAGCCCGGGGGCCCCCGAACGTTCGGTCAGGTAACCCTGATTATTATTATTATTATTAGTATTAGTATTAGTAAAACAGAACCTTAGGTTTTGTAATTTGGCAGTTGTGCATTTCACATGCTTGATGACCAGCTATCCCCATAGTTTGTGTTTCATGTTGACATCATCAAGTTGTCGCTTGTTGGCTGCTGGTTGCAGGGTACACAACGCCGCCGGTTCTATGCCAGAATGGCTGCGCACGTCCTTTGCAGGTGGTGTCTCTGCTGGTTTAGCCGCAGCTGTTTCTCATCCGCTGGACACAGCGACGAGGCGGTTACACGCCACATTTTACCCAAAGGTAACCACGGTAAATGGTCACAACCCGATCTCATTCACCACACAGTAAGCACGATACTCCGCTCTGCTGTGACGGCCCTCAGCTGTCAAAAGTCGTCAACAGAGCCATCCACTTTTTTTTTCAATCCTTGTGCAGGGACCATGCTAATCTTCTCCGTATCATTCCAATTTTAACAGATGTTTGTTGTTGCTCTTTCGAAAAAAAAAGGGCAGACTGTTGCCGTTCTTGCTCTCTGTTCTTGTTGCTGTTGCTGTTGTCGTCATCCTCATCCTCGTCCTCATCAATGTAGTTGTCGCTGTCGTCGTTGTTGTCGTCGTTGTGTTTGTTGTTGTCGTTGTCGTTGTCGTTGTTGTCGTTGTCGTTGTTGTTGTTGTTTCAAAGCTGGCGAAAGCCTTAGGATGAAGAAGAGGTAGCAGAGAAAATAATAATGGGATATTAATTGGTCAAGCAGGCTGTGACATGGTTGGTTGGTTGTTAGCTTCGTCCCATGTGTCGGCTATTAGTTCCCATGTGTTGGCTGTTGGCTATTGGCTATTAGCTATTGGCTCCCATTGGCTATTAGCTATTGGCTCCCATGTGTGTGTGTGTGTGTGTGTGTGTGTGTGTGTGTATTGGCGAGAGAGCGAGCCCGTTGTTTGCTGTGGTCTTCTCCGACTCTGCCTACATTTGTTGGCCAATTGCTACCCGCTCTCTTGTGCTGGCTATTAGCCATTAGTTCCCCTGTGTTGGCTTTATTGGCTATTAACTCCCATACGAACGCTATTAGCTATGAGCTTCCATGGGATGGCTATTAGCTATTAGCAAGAGAGTGAGCAGCTCTATTTGACGATATATACATGTATCTCCAGATGAGTGGCTGGATCTCCGATGAATCAGACCGTCACAGCCCGTTGTTCGCTGTGATCTTCTCCCTCTCTGCCTACAGTTTCTGGGCAGTCCTGTTTGACGATATGTAGTACAGCCCGTGGCGATATGCGTTTTCAATTTCGGAAATGTATTTGACATTGTTCGTTTTGCCTCTCTCTCTCTCTCTCTCTCTCTCTCTCTCTCTCTCTCTCTCTCTCTCTCTCTCTCTCTCTCTCTCTCTCTCTCTCTCTCTCTGTGTAACGTGTTTTGTTTTTCTCCCAGCATGTCAGGATGGAGAAATCAATTTTGCGAGAGAGCGAGCCTGCAACGTGGCTGCAACGCACGTTGGGAATAGCATCTGCTCATCAAACTCGCCGATGGACTGGAATCGGTCTACAGGTTACTCAGCATAGCATCGGTTTCTTTTGTCTTCTTGCTGTGTACCATGCCGGTCTGATGGCACTGTAAAGAAAGTTTCAGAACTGTGGAGTCAAACACGCCAATGTCATTCAATTTTTTTTTATTTTTTTTGTCCGTTTCTTGTGCGTTTAGACTCAATGTTTAGACACATTGATATCCCTCTTCAATCTATCTCATGGTACTTCGGAGAAGCGTTGGGCCAGGCTGCCTTAGAGCAGTTCAGACACGCCACTTTCCTTTGATGTTATGGGCCCAAGCGGGATAGTTTCACAGCCGCTGGCCGACGCCGACAGCCGCCTGAGCAGGGTAGTTTCTCAGCCGATGGCCGACGCCGCCAGCCGCCTGTTCTGCAGCCTACCGGTAGGCGGTCTGCCGACCTGTCTCTTATACACATCTAGATGTGTATAAGAGACAGGTGTCAACCGGTGGAATGGTTGGCTGGTGGACTGCCTCTACCAATTGAGGGGCGCCTACCGTCGGTGTGCCTATTCCGGCCAAGAGTCCAGATAACTATCTACTTTGAGCTTTCAGACTTGAGTTGCACATTTGTCCACGAACATTGAGTTTAGAGTCTTTAGACTCTAGACTCTAGACTCTAGAGACTTTTTTTTTTTTTTTTTTTTTTAAATCCATTTTTTTGTGTTTAGTCGTGGAGATCTGTTCACAGGTTGGAAGTGGAAGGGTGCTGTAAATGACGTTCAAAATCCTGCAATTATGAGGAGAAAAAAACGAGAAAGCAAGCAGAGTTGTAATTGATGATGCATTGCTTTCAAATTTTCAATGTAATCAAGTCACATACCTTCAGCAGCGTTCCAGCCACTTGAGTCCACCTCATAACTGCCATGGCAAGCTTCCCCCTTCCCCTCTTCTTCTCCTGTTCTTACTTCTAGAACTGCAAATTGCCGACTTAGCCGTCCTCTGATATGCTTCCTCCATTCTTTTCGCACAAACCGTAGCCGCTTCTTCTTCTTCTTCTTCTTCTTCTTCTTCTTCTTCTTCTTCTTTGTTCTTCTTCTTCTTCTTCTTCTTCTTCTTCTTCTTCTTCTTCTTCTTCTTCTTCTTCTACTCCTCTTCCTCGTCCTTGCTCTTCTTGTCTTCCCTCTTCGTCTTCTTCTTTCTTCTGTTTTCTGTCTTCCTTTGTCTTCTTCCTTCTGTCTTCCTTCTTCTTCTTTCTTCTTCTCTCTTTCTTCTTCTTTCTTCTTTTTTTGTTCTTCTCCGGCTCCTCGGTCCTCGTTGTTGTTGTTGGTCGGAAGCTGCCGACCTACCCATCGTCTGATGCTTCTTCTTCTTTTTCGTCGTCGTCGACATCTCCTGCCCTCTCGTTGTTGTTGTTGTTGTTGTTGTTGTTGTTGTTGTTGTTGTTGTTGTTGTTTAAAAAAAGAGACGGATTTCTACACCGTGCGCGCACCTGAAAGGAGACCACATTATTCTCCTCCTCTTCCTCCCGGTCCTCCTCCTCCTCCTCCTCCTCCTCCTCCTCCTCCTGCTTTCTCTTGCTTCCTTCTCTTCTTCTCCTTCTTGGCACAGCTGTGGGGACATGACTACTCACAAGCTTGCCACTGCAGGATTTCTGCATCATGCACCTGATGGGACACCACCTTCTCCCTTTTTTTTTTCTTTTTCTTTTTTTTTTTTTTCCTGCCACCATCTTCTCCCTCTCAAATGCACACGGGGTTTCTTTTCCATCTGGAGAAGTGTAGAAACCACATCCTCAGCTTCCGCGAAAACAACACGTGGTTTCTACCCCATGTGCACACACGGGCTTATTCTCGCTCGACCATGTGCTCCCTTTCCGGGAAGGAGCAAATCTGTCATAAACCTCGCGAGGTCTAATTCACCCTTGCTATTCGGCACGAAGAGCAAATCTGTGTTGTCCTCCTTGGATTGCGAAGAACTGCAAGGAGGCGATCTCCCTTCGGATCCATGCTCCTTCCAATTGCTCAAGGTTTTTAAAACTTTTGAAACTTTGAAGTTTTTTTTTGAACTTCAAAGAAGTCTGAAGTTTGAACTTCAATCAAGCTTAGGCCATACTCACGCTAGGACTCTTTCTGCTTAGCTCCGGACGTGATTGCGGTTACATTCATCCATGTCCGAACGTAATTGCAGTCAGATACATTTCAGGTAGTGCTGATATGAGTATGCCCTTGCTCCATGCGATCGTATATGATTGAGTAATTTTGGACAGATGCGGTACGCGAATGAGGCTTGCAGAGAAATGGAGACTTCTTGCATTCCATCCTCGTCAGAGATGAATGTTTGCTTGAAGAGAAATAGAGAACCCTCTGTCTGTGTGTGTGTGTGTGTGTGTGTGTGTGTGTGTGTGTGTGTGTGTGTGTGTGTGTGTGTGTGNTGTGTGTGTGTGTGTGTGTGTGTGTGTGTGTGAGAGAGAGAGAGAGAGAGAGAGAGAGAGAGAGAGAGAGAGAGAGAGAGAGAGAGAGAGGTGGTTGGGATTCTTGTCTTGATATTGAGGGTGGTGGAAGAGGTGGAGGGAAGAGAAAGGGGTGAGGAGCAGAGGAAAGAATGGTGAAGAGGGAGCAGGGGGAAGTGAAGACAGGTGATGTGGCGAAGGAGAGGAGGGAAATTGTAGGAGATGACTGTGTGCTGCAATGGAGATGGAAATTTCAAATTCGTGGACGGGCAGGAGACGCGCTCAGCGGGAGGAGGAGGAACAGTGCGAGTAGTAGTAGCAGGAGATGGAAGGCAAAGACTCAGCGATGCAGCACACGCGGACATCCATGGCACCAGTCTCCTGCCCGTCCAAGATGGAGAAGTGCCGGAAGAGGAGGGAAAGAGGGGAGGTAGGGAAAGAGAGGAGGAGGGGAGAAAGTGGATGAAGAACGGGAGGGCGGGAGAGGTCGTCGTTATCCGGCCAGCACAGCTATTGCTATTGCCGCTGAGGGACGTGTTCCGTTACCCCGTACACAGTAATTAAATGAGGGCGACGGAGGGTTTCAACTTTGAAGTTTAAACTTTAAAGTTTAAACTACCAGTACATGGGCACCTGAGGCCGCAGGACTGACACCGTCGCACCGCGCGTTTCGGAGGCGGCCTGAAACGCGACGCCACCCCGAAATTGGCTCCGAGACTTTCTTCTGGCGACGGAAATTTTCTGCAAGGCCGGGGCCGAGTACTCTGCGTTTTAATGCACTTTTTAATTACTGAGTGAGTGTTCATTGAACTTTCGTCCCCAGCAACGGTAAAGAGATGAAACATCGTGTCGCGGGATTGAGAGTATCATAAACTCCACTGAGTGTTTTATGATCACCATCTCTGAAAAGCGCAACGCGCAAACATTCTAATAGAGTAGTTGGCGTCTACTACTCACGGTTCATGACATGGTCAACGGATTGAGCAAAGGTTTGGGTCTTTGGGAGTGTCTAGTCTCTAGAGTAGAGTAGAAGGCGTCACGGCCTCTTTTTTTTTTTTTTTTTTTTTTGGGAGGACAATCCTCTGGTCTATTCATGGGGAGCAACACACGCCGGCAATGAAAAAAACAGAAAACAAATGGAGGTACCCGGTCCCCATTACCCGGCTTCGGCTGAGAGCAGTCGGGACGATCCAGAAAATTTCAACAAAGTTTGGGAACAGCTTCTTCTACTCGTCAATCTCGAGTACAGTGCGGTGAATATTTCATCATCAGACGTCACGAACTCAAGATTAGAAGTCGTTTGACTCTATAAAAAAATTACAGCATGTTTTATCAAACTAAAGGCAAAATAGCGATGGATTCTTCATCAAATTTTTAGCATTTAAGAGTAATTTACGAATTTGTAATCCAGCGACATCGCCACCTAATAATAACCAGATTGGCGAGAAAAAAACTAGGGTGGCCCACATCACAAAAATGTTACACCACTAAACCACTAGTAGTTTAACATTTGTCGGTGCGGAAAATAGTGAGTGGGCCTCCGGCCTTTCAGGAGGCCGAAACGGAACGAAACGACGGCCGCCGATCAGAGTTGTCAACGGCAGCTGTTGTCGGGCCCGGCCTCCGATTTCTTCGGAAGCTGGCGTTTGCCCTCATTTTTTCTGAAGTGGCAAAGGTACGAGCGGTTCAAGTCAAATTTAAAAAAATTATATTCTGCGGTCCTGCTGACTCTTGATTCTTGAACCCTGGAAAGTAGACAGTGGACGCTCAGTTGAATGCGACTGATTTTGAACTTTTGTCTCAGAGTCTGAGCTTGTCCGTGTCAACATCAGACCTTATAAATTATAATCCAGTCTGATCGTCTAAGGTCTAAATTTAGTAGTTCTGTTACCTTAATGACGCGGCGGGGCAAAAATTTGGCACCCTCACTTATTTTGCAGCTGATTTTAATCTTTGATCCATTTTTCCTTGCCGTGAATATATGACCCCCTACCACCCGGGGTTCTGGGGTCACCCTGCTTGCCCGATTAAAGAGTCCCAATTAAACCACGTTTTTTTTTTTTCCTAACTGGGGTGCCAAGGTCAACCGGAGTGCCCGGGTCGCATTGTTTTTTCTTTTGTTCTTTTCCTGTTCCTTGCCTGGCTAGAACTGAAAAAAAAAAACTAATGAATTCAATTATATGATATACCCTTTCTCGCCCGGGCAGGGCAACCAAGGTGACCGCGACACCCCAGTTGGCCCGAGTAGTTTTTTTTTCCGATCGCCGATGGCTGAGTCAGTTTTTTTTTTTTTTTTTT